TATATTTTACCTAGTGCCTAATAACATTTTCCATACTTGTTGATCACTTTGTGTATTTTGTTCCTGGATGCATTACAAATTAACCAAGATAACCAATGGCACAGCACGCTAGATCGCACTGTCATTCACTCAAATGAAAATATGAAAAAGGCATCAGGGACTAAACACCAAACAAGTTGTAACTTCCATCAAGCATGATATCATTGTCAACAAGCATGATAAAAGTGCAAGCATGCATAATGACTGTATTAATAAGCACAATAGCAGTGTCAATGAGTAATTTGTAACAGTAAGCAGGCAGTGTGTAATTGTCAACAAGCGTGATGAAAGTCATGCATGCATAGTGACTGTACCAATAAGCACAATAGCAGTGTCAATAAGTAAATTGTAACAGTAAGCAGGCATTGTGTAATTTTTACCTCAATATCATTCCATACACGTGATCTGCTTTAGAAGTTTGTATTATGTACGGATCATTTCAGCTTATTCATTTTAACCCAAATGGCGAAATAACAAACTTTTCATTTAAGGATCACGAATAATTTAAAATGTTTAAAGTTTACCACGTTGTTCAAAATACCGTGATTTTTTAAAAGATTTCTATATTTGATAAGTTACGACATTGCTTAAGTAGAAATTATCTTTTCATCGGTATTTTTTTCTCTGGGGAACCCGTATACATGTACATGTATTATAAGTGATCGTTATTTGAAAATATTGCACAATTTTAGAAACTGTTTTTTTTCCAGTATGCACTTATATTTGTATAAGTTACACTAATGCATTAATAACTTGAATTAATTTTAAGTAATTAAACAATTTACTTAAGCTACCAAACAACGATTTAGAATTATTTTAAGCATCAACTGATTTTTTTGTTTAACATGTTAAGAAATTTTAGGAACGATACAGTACAGTATAGCATTAATAATCTTTAAATATTTAAACGACGGTGAATAGAGAATAAAAGTTTATATACATACCCTTTTGACAGTTTAAGCTATCCGCACCCGTTTGAATTATTGAATCGATTGTTATTTATAAATAGTGGTCTTCTTAAATTTTAGCTCGACTATACGAAGTATGTATATAGAAAGCTGTCAAAATCACCTCGATTTCGGCCCCAGATTTCTGGTTCTGTGCAGTAAAATAGTTTTATTAAAATACCTATTTCAAGGGATCTTCTCCAAACTTCAAATATAATTATGTTTTTTCATCACCCGCACCACACGTGTTCTAGAATTGACTTTTTTTTTATCTTAGAATTTTTTTCTTGACGGATTTACGGCAAACTTCAAATATATAGAGGATATTTTTTTTATAAATGATAATTTTCATACAACAAGATGAAAATAAATCCTGTATTAATAGAAAAAATCTTGAAATTTCTGTTTATTATATACCTTTTCTCTTTTTTTAACCTTATGAATAGGAAGAATTCCTTTTTAATTTTGTGTAATGGCTAAATTTAGAAGAAAGTAGTCCGGCAAGCAACCAGTGAGAATACGGAAAATATGTTTCAATGCAGCGAAAAATAAATTTTTACAGCGGACATACGGAAAATAAAAATATGCATTTTATTTCATCAATACTCCTCAATAGTTCATTTATATCAGTATGTAATAAATTAGCAAAAGTTCGCAACTTTTTCTTCTCTGCAAAAAATAACCTCTACACCGCCATTTAATAATGAAGTTCATAACACTTGCACAAATATTTTCAGATTTATCTCCCCTTCGAACTTAAAATTTTCCGTACACATTGTTAATTCTATGATAAATATTTCTAAAATGATCTTCTTAAACTTAGAGAATATTCCTTATTTTTTATTTTTCTTATTTAAGGATTGGCAGCGGCACGGATATGATATGTGTAAAATATATTTGTTTAATAAATGAATTTTCCCGTAGTTTTGTCTTCCCATACTGTGCCCAGTATTTAATTTTTCGAGCGTGCCGTGTCTTCTTACAGCTCTTGTTATTTACCTACTGTGCTGAATTATGAACGCGCCACTGCACCGAATCATGAATTGTGACGGTTAAAATCTAGTGTTTAATTTTCAATATTTACCTTGCATATGTTTACATGTACTTAGGTTATTATGTAAATTTATCACATTTAGAAAATAATTATATTTGCATATCTTTTGAAGAAAGCGATCTGCCATCGTATATTTTCAAATCGTTTCAGAAAAAAAAATCAGTATTAAATCACGTCAGAGGTTATGACTAAATCAACAAAACCACCATCACCACAACCACCACCACCACCAACAACAACAACAACCACGACGACGACGACGACTTCAATTGCTGCTGCTATTACTACAACAACTATTACTTCCTTAACCACTTCTATCTCTATCAACAACAAAAAATGCAAACTTAGATTAATTTTAAATTTGATACAAGATGACATTTTTTGAGCTTTTTGGCCCCTCTTTCATCGGTTTATTTGTAAAATTATAAAGTACCTTAAAAGTATAATCTATTACTATTACTATTACTTCCTTAACCGCTTCTATCTCTATCAACAACAAAAAATGCAAACTTGAATTAATTTTAAATTTGATACAAGATGACATTTTTTGAGCTTTTTTGCCCCTCATTCATCGGTTTATTTGTAAAATTATGAAGCACTTTAAAAGTATAATTTATAAACTATACACTGTGTATTTGAATTAAATGGGGTGTTTACCAGTCACAACTTTTCAGTCATTTTAGTCAAACATCGGATAACGAAAAATACAAGTTTTGGTAAATCATACATCACAATAAAAATGTAAACAAATACAAATCTAGTAATTATATGAGAAACTTTATTTCATATTATCGTTTTAAAAAGTAATAGTTTACAAACCCAGGTGGCGTTTTGAAAAACCAAGAGAGAGTGTAGCGAAAGGCCACCCGGGTCTGTAAATGCTATGCAGACATATTCCAAGTGCAGTTGATGTCTAACCTACATGCTCTTTTGATTTTGTTATCAAACATTAATTTTATTTTCAAACTCAGCATACATTAATATACACTTAACAAAAGTTCTAACCAATCACTTTTTAAATTTTGATTATTTTATAACTGCTCAATAGATCCTTATAAAATTGTATTAAAGTAGTTAAATATGTGAGTAGTGTCTTGTATCAGTGTGTGAGTAGTGTCCTGTATCAGTGTGTAAGTAGTGTCCTGTATCTGTGTGTGAGTAGTGTCCTGTATCAGTGTGTAAGTAGTGTCCTGTATCAGTGTGTTAGTAGTGTCCTGTATCAGTGTGTTAGTAGTGTCCTGTATCAGTATGTAAGTAGTGTCCTGTATCAGTGTGTTAGTAGTGTCCTGTATCAGTGTGTTAGTAGTGTCCTGTATCAGTGTGTGAGTAGTGTCCTGTATCAGTGTGTCGGTAGTGTCCTGTATCAGTGTGTTAGTAGTGTCCTGTATCAGTGTGTTAGTAGTGTCCTGTATCAGTGTGTGAGTAGTGTCCTGTATCAGTGTGTTAGTAGTGTCCTGTATCAGTGTGTTAGTAGTGTCCTGTATCAGTGTGTGAGTAGTGTCCTGTATCAGTGTGTGAGTAGTGTCCTGTATCAGTGTGTCAGTAGTGTCTTGTATCAGTGTGTCAGTAGTGTCCTGTATCAGTGTGTGAGTAGTGTCCTGTATCAGTGTGTGAGTAGTGTCTTGTATCAGTGTGTTAGTATTGTCCTGTGTTAGAGTGTGAGTAGTGTCCTGTATCAGTGTGTTGGTAATGTCCTGTATCAATTTGTTAGTATTGTCCTGTATTAGTGGATGAGTAGTTTCCTTTATCAGTGTGTGAGCAGTGTCCTGTATCAGTGTGTGAGTAGTGTCCTGTATCAGTGTGTGAGTAGTGTCCTGTATTAGTGTATGAGTAGTGTCCTGTATCAGTGTGTGAGTAGTTTCCTGTATCAGTGTGTGAGTAGTGTTTTAATAGTGTCCTGTTTCAGTGTGTCGGTAGTGTCTTGTGTTAGTGTGTCAGTAGTGTTTTGTGTCAGTGTGTCCGTAGTGTCCTGTGTCAGTTTGTCAGTAGTGCCTTGTGCCAGTGTGTCGGTAGTGTCTTGTATCAGTGTGTCGGTAGTGTCTTGTGCCAGTGTGTCGGTAGTGTCTTGTGTCAGTGTGTCAGTAGTGTCTTGTGTCAGTGTGTCGGTAGTGTCTTGTATCAGTGTGTCAGTAGTGTCTTGTATCAGTGTGTCAGTAGTGTCTTGTATCAGTGTGTCAGTAGTGTCTTGTGTCAGTGTGTCAGTAGTGTCTTGTATCAGTGTGTCGGTAGTGTCTTGTGTCAGTGTGTCAGTAGTATCTTGTATCAGTGTGTCAGTACTGTCTTGTGTCAGTGTGTGAGTAGTGTCTTGTATCAGTTTGTCAGTAGTGTCCTGTATCAGTATGTCAGTACTGTCTTGTATCAGTGTGTCAGTAATGTCTTTTGTCAGTGTGTCAGTAGTGTCTTGTGTCAATAGGATAGTAGTCTCCTGTATCAGTGTGTCGGTAGTCTCCTGTATCAGTGTGTCAGTAGTGTCTTGTGTCAGTGTGTCAGTAGTGTCTTGTGTCAGTGTGTCAGTAGTGTCTTGTGTCAGTGTGTCGGTTGTGTCTTGTGTCAGTGTGTCAGTAGTCTCCTGTATCAGTGTGTCGGTAGTCTCCTGTATTAGTGTGTCAGTAGTGTCTTTTGTCAGTGTGTCAGTAGTGTCTTGTGTCAATAGGATAGTAGTCTCCTGTATCAGTGTGTCGGTAGTCTCCTGTATCAGTGTGTCAGTAGTGTCTTGTGTCAGTGTGTCAGTAGTGTCTTGTGTCAGTGTGTCAGTAGTGTCCTGTATCAGTGTGTCAGCAGTGTCTTGTGTCAGTGTGTCAGTAGTGTCTTGTGTCAGTATGTCTTTAGTGTCTCGTGTCAGTGTGTCAGTAGTGTCTTGTGTCAGTGTGTCAGTAGTGTCCTGTATCAGTGTGTCGGTAGTGTCTTGTGTCAGTGTGTCAGTAGTGTCTTGTGTCAGTGTGTCAGTAGTGTCTTGTGACAGTGTGTCGGTAGTGTCTTGTGTCAGTGTGTCGGTAGTGTCCTGTATCAGTGTGTCGGTAGTCTCCTGTATCAATGTGTCGGTAGTGTCTTGTGCCAGTGTGTCGGTAGTGTCTTGTGTCAGTGTGTCAGTAGTGTCTTGTGTCAGTGTGTCGGTTAGTGTCTTGTGTCAGTGTGTCAGTAGTGTCTTGTGTCAGTGTGTCCGTTGTGTTTTGTGTCAGTGTGTCAGTAGTCTCCTGTATCAGTGTGTCAGTAGTCTCCTGTATCAATTTGTCGGTAGTCTCCTGTATCAATGTGTCGGTATTGTCTTGTGTCAGTGTGTCAGTAGTCTCCTGTATCAGTGTGTCGGTAGTCTCCTGTATCAGTGTGTCAGTAGTGTCTTGTGTCAGTGTGTCAGTAGTGTCTTGTGTCAGTGTGTCAGCTGTGTCTTGTGTCAGTAGTCTCCTGTATCAGTGTGTCGGTAGTCTCCTGTATCAGTGTGTCAGTAGTGTCTTGTGTCAGTGTGTCAGTAGTGTCTTGTGTCAGTGTGTCAGTAGTGTCTTGTGTCAGTGTGTCAGTAGTGTCTTGTGTCAGTGTGTCAGTAGTGTCTTGTGTCAGTGTGTCGGTTGTGTCTTGTGTCAGTGTATCAGTAGTCTCCTGTATCAGTGTGTCGCTAGTCTCCTGTATTAGTGTGTCAGTAGTGTCTTTTGTCAGTGTGTCAGTAGTGTCTTGTGTCATTTTGATAGTAGTCTCCTGTATCAGGGTGTCGGTAGTCTCCTGTATCAGTGTGTCAGTAGTGTCTTTGTGTCAGTGTGTCAGTAGTGTCTTGTGTCAGTGTGTCAGTAGTGTCCTGTATCAGTGTGTCAGCAGTGTCTTGTGACAAGTGTGTCAGTAGTGTCTTGTGTCCGTGTGTCAGTAGTGTCTTGTGTCAGTGTGTCGGTAGTGTCTTGTGTCAGTGTGTCAGTAGTGTCTTGTGTCAGTGTATTAGTAGTCTCCTGTATCAGTGTGTCAGTAGTCTCCTGTATCAATGTGTCGGTAGTCTCCTGTATCAATGTGTCGGTATTGTCTTGTATCAGTGTGTCAGTAGTCTCCTGTATCAGTGTGTCGGTAGTCTCCTGTATCAGTGTGTCAGTAGTGTCTTGTGTCAGTAGTGTCTTGTGTCAGTGTGTCAGTAGTGTCTTGTATCAGTGTGTCAGCAGTATCTTGTGTCAGTGTGTCAGTAGTGTCTTGTGTCAGTGTGTCAGTAGTGTCTTGTGTCAGTGTGTCAGTAGTGTCTTGTGTCAGTGTGTCCGTAGTGTCTTGTGTCAGTGTGTCGGTAGTGTCTTGTGTCAGTGTGTCAGTAGTGTCTTGTATCAGTGTGTCAGTAGTGTCTTGTGTCAGTGTGTCGGTAGTGTCTTGTGTCAGTGTGTCGGTAGTGTCTTGTGTCAGTGTGTCGGTAGTGTCTTGTGTCAGTGTGTCGGTAGTGTCTTGTGTCAGTGTGTCAGTAGTGTCTTGTGTCAGTGTGTCAGTAGTCTCCTATATCAATGTGTCGGTAGTGTCTTGTGCCAGTGTGTTGGTAGTGTCTTGTGTCAGTGTGTCAGTAGTGTCTTGTGTCAGTGTGTCGGTAGTGTCTTGTGTCAGTGTGTCATTAGTCTCCTGTATTAGTGTGTCAGTAGTGTCTTGTGTCAGTGTGTCAGTAGTGTCTTGTGCCAGTGTGTCGGTAGTGTCTTGTGTCAGTAGTCTCCTGTATCAGTGTGTCAGTAGTGTCTTGTGTCAGTGTGTAGGTAGTGTCTTGTGTCAGTGTGTTAGTGGTCTCCTGTATCAGTGTGTCAGTAATGTCCTGTGTCAGTGTCTCAGTAGTGTCTTGTGTCAGTGTGTCAGTAATCTCTTGTATCAGTGTGTCGGTAGTGTCTTGTGTCAGTGTGTCAGTAGTCTCCTGTATTAGCGTGTCAGTAGTGTCTTGTGTCAGTGTGTCAGTAGTGTCTTGTGCCAGTGTGTCGGTGGTGTCTTGTGTCAGTAGTCTCCTGTATCAGTGTGTCAGTAGTGTCTTGTGTCAGTGTGTCAGTAGTGTCTTGTGTCAGTGTGTTAGTAGTCTCCTGTATCAGTGTGTCAGTAGTGTCCTGTTGTCAGTGTGTCAGTAGTGTCTTGTGTCAGTGTGTCAGTAGTGTCTTGTGTCAGTAGTCTCCTGTATCAATGTGTCGGTAGTCTCCTGTATCAATGTGTCGGTAGTCTCCTGTATCAATGTGTCAGTAGTGTCTTGTGTCAGTGTGTCGGTAATGTCTTGTGTCAGTGTGTCAGTAGTGTCTTGTGTCGGTTGTGTCTTGTGTCAGTTGTGTCAGTAGTGTCTTGTGTCAGTGTTTTCAGTAGTGTCTTGTGTCAGTAGTGTCTTGTGTCAGTGTGTCGGTAGTGTCTTGTGTCAGTGTGTCAGTAGTGTCTTGTGTTAGTGTGTCAGTAGTTGTCTTGTGTCAGTGTGTCGGTTGTGTCTTGTGTCAGAGTGTCAGTAGTGTCTTGTGTCAGTGTGTCGGTAGTGTCTTGTGTCAGTAGTGTCTTGTGTCAGTGTGTCAGTAGTGTCTTGTGTCATTGTGTCAGTAGTGTCTTGTGTCAATGTGTCAGTAGTGTCTTGTGTCAGTGTGTCGGTTGTGTCTTGTGTCAGAGTGTCAGTAGTGTCTTTGTGGTCAGTTTGTCGGTAGTGTCTTGTGTCAGTGTGTCAGTAGTGGTCCTGTATCAATGTGTCGGTAGTCTCCTGTATCAATGTGTCGGTAGTCTCCTGTATCAATGTGTCGGTAGTCTCCTGTATCAATGTGTCGGTAGTGTCTGTGTCAGTAGTGTCTTGTGTCAGTGTGTCAGTAGTGTCTTGTGTCAGTGTGTCAGTAGTGTCTTGTGTCAGTGTGTGTCAGTAGTGTCTTGTGTCAGAGTGTCAGTAGTGTCTTGTGTCAGTAGTGTCTTGTGTCAGTGTGTCAGTAGTGTCTTGTGTCAGAGTGTCAGTAGTGTCTTGTGTCAGTGTGTCGGTAGTGTGTTGTGTCAGAGTGTCAGTAGTGTCTTGTGTCAGTAGTCTCCTGTATCAGTGTGTTCAGTAGTGTCTTGTGTCAGTGTGTCAGTAGTCTCTTGTATCAGTGGTGCAGTGTGTCAGTACTGTCTTGTATCAGTGTGTGAGTAGTGTCTTGTATCAGTGTGTCAGTAGTGTCCTGTATCAGTGTGTCAGTAGTGTCTTGTATCAGTGTGTCAGTAGTGTCTTGTATCAGTGTGTCAGTAGTGTCTTGTATCAGTGTGTCAGTAGTGTCTTGTATGAGTAGTGTCCTGTATCAGTGTGTCAGTAGTGTCTTGTGCCAGTAGTGAGTAGTGTCCTGTATCAGTGTCAGTAGTGTCTTGTGTCAGTGTGTGAGTAGTGTCCTGTATCAGTGTGTCAGTTGTGTCCTGTATCAGTGTGTCAGTAGTGTCTTGTGTCAGTGTGTCAGTAGTGTCTTGTGTCAGTGTGTCAGTATTTTCCTGTATCAGTGTGTCGGTAGTGTCTTGTGTCAGTGTGTCAGTAGTGTCTTGTGTCAGTGTGTCAGTAGTGTCTTTGTGTCAGTGTGTCAGTAGTGTCCTGTGTCAGTAGTGTCTTGTGTCAGTGTGTCAAGTAGTCTCTTGTATCAGTGTGTCGGTAGTGTCTTGTGTCAGTGTGTCAGTAGTGTCTTGTGTCAGTGTGTCGGTAGTGTCCTGTATCAATGTGTTCGGTAGTGTCTTGTGTCAGTGTGTCGGGTAGTGTGTTGTATCAGTGTGTCAGTAGTGTCTTGTGTCAGTGTGTCAGTAGTGTCTTGTGTCAGTGTGTCGGTAGTCTCCTGTATCAATGTGTCGGTAGTGTCTTGTGTCAGTGTGTCGGTAGTGTCTTGTGTCAGTGTGTCCTGTATCAATGTGTGAGTTGTGCCCTGTATCAGTGTGTGAGTAGTGCCCTGTATCAGTGTTTGAGTAGTGTCCGTCATGTCATAGTTTCCTATTGTGTCCTGTGTGTTTGTAGTGTTGTGCGTGTGTGTATAGTGGTCTGTCAGTGTGTGAGTAATTTTTATTAATTGATTAATATTTTGAGTATATGTTATTGTTAAGTGGAGTAGCGGGGGATCGAACTCGCAACCCCTAGATTTGTAGTCAGACAGTGTTACCACTGCACTACAGCGCCCGCTCTAAGTCCCTTTATACATTATGACAAAAGAAAACTTGAAATTGAGTAATGCAATTTATTTTTCACACCTAAATATTTAATATAGCTATTAGGTCTTAAGTATTTTACAATGGCTGACATCCGTGTCCTTGCTCGAGGGGATGTGAAGGACTTTACACAAACGAGTAGTAAAATGAAAAGAAGTAAGACTGTTGACAGGCAATAAAAAAGCCATATTCCGTTAAATAGAATCGCAGTTCTAATATTGACAATAAGCAAGCTGAAACCAATACTTGTTGCTTATGATAAATGCTGGTTTGATACAAGTCTATTTAATCTAGTTCCACTAGTTAAAAATATTTCTAGTGGCGTAAATTCGGTGAAAAATTATGTTAATGCAGCGAACCTGGAAACTGGAAAATTACCAAAATAAATGTCAAAATATGCAAAAAAGTCCTTACTACGTTAGTCACGCTAAAAATGTGTGATATTTATATCAAATTTTCTTAAGTTTTATTTTTTACTGAATAAAAGTAAAAAATATATTTCACCAAATGGTATCGCCTCGAACTCTACGTCGACCAAGGGACTCAGTTGGTTAGTTCCGTGAATCCCCAACTACGTACAAGAAGGTAGTTGGTAATTCTGATATTGCATATAAACGGTTAACAAAGGTTACGTTATATAACTAAATATGTGTTTTCTATAATATTGTCACACCCCCTTCCCCATAAATCGACCAGGGAACTCAGTTGGTTATTAGCGTGAATCCTAAGAATTCTTAACATTGAACTACGTTTATGCATAGCTTTTAAGCAAATGCTAAAAAAATAGACACTCTGTTACTCATGAAATACAGTATATTGGTGTTATACTTCCCAGCGAAAATAAATTGATTGCATAATGTGAATTAAAGGTAAAATGAGAAACAGTAAAGATAATGTGATAAATATGGTATCATTTGCTTGAGCGACAAGGTTGAAAAGCGAAATAACTCTTTAAAAATTATTCTAGAAATTTAATGGAGTTGCGTCCCTTACATTAAAGACCATGTTCTTACAAATTACAAATATTCACAGAATCGTCTTTATGTCTATATAATTTGTATTCAAATTGGTATTTTTATATTATTGAACAATTTTTCTTAACAAAAATAGGTATTGGTTGATGTGAACAATTGTGCTTACAATTGTTACGTTATTTCCAAATTGCCCATTTGGTTTCAAATATGACATTGATCGATATGGTATTGATCAATTTATTAAATTAATTGCTTGTTCAAAAGACCCCCCGAAAATGCAGTAGATTAGAAATTAGAAATATCAGTGTCAAAAAATAGTTCCCGATTGGTCGAAAAATTCTAATATTGTGTAATTCTTTACAGATATACATGCTTATATTAAGCTCCATGATTATTTACATCAGTGTTTAACAACTTTACCGTGAACAAAATATCTCGAAATTAATAAGGATTACAAACCCTAATTTAGAATTATATGGTTTTCTTATAACTTCCTCGTGGTCGAGAGGTTCCACGCTCGTTTAAAGCTGCAGTCTCACATCCCGGCAGAACCCCGGTAGACGTCCGGGAAGATCCAGGAAAGACCGGGGTACGACCGGGAACAACCGGAGTATATCCGTAACTCTGCTGGAAACGTCCGGGATGGTCCGAGAACATCCGGCATTCGACCCCGGATGGAATAAAATATTTAATATCACCGGGGTGGTCCGGGATTATCCGGGAAATATAGCTTTGCCGGCTTCATCCTTAGCTCTGCTTGGAACGACCTGGGTTACACCGTAGTTCTGCCGGCACAAACCGGGGATGATCCGGGGCATGATATAGCCGGTAGATCTACGGTAGAGCCCCGATAAAGGCCGGCAGAGCCCCGGTGAATGCCGGCCGAGTCTCGGAGGATGCCGGCAGAGCCCCGGAAGATGACGATGGAGCTACGGTTGATCCCGGTAGAGTCCCGGCAAAGCCTGGTTCATTTTAAAAGAATCACGACAATTTGCGATGATTTCACTTGTTCGTATTAAAACCCTTCAAATTTCCCGTTTATCCTGTCTTGCATAAGGATTTTCAGAAAATCATCATAAATTACTGTTCTGGAACAATAGATATAATATTAAATAAAAATTATGTATCAATGTAATTATTTTCGCGCGTTTTAAATCCACCGGGGTTCTACCGGGACTCTGCCTGGATCGATCTGGGCTCTGCCGGGACTCTGCCTGGATCGACCGGGGCTCTTCCGGCGTCATCCGGGAACGACCGGGGAAGCACCGGCATAAAGCATAGCTTCACCTGGGCTCTGCCTGGATGGTCCGGAGCACATCTTTGGTGGTTAGTTGGGAATTACCGTAGTGCTTCCGGGGTAAGTATGACCGCAACAATAATTTCACCCCGGATCGTCCTGGATCATCCCGGTAACCTACCGTGGTAGTCCTGGGCTCTGCCTGGAGTAAGTGAGACCGCAGCTTAAGGAGTCGAGAGGTCTGGAGTTCAAGTTCAAATCCTAGTTAAGTCAACTCATGTTTTTTTTGTTTGTTATATATGTAAATTGTTTAAGCCAAATAAACATTGAGCCTTATAGCCAATTTACAACGGTTATAACAATGGAAACAACATTGGTGGCACTATAAACAAGAGGGCCATGATGGCCCTGAGGTCGCTCACCTGTATAAAGGCACCCGGAGCGGGGCCAGTTTAAACCCCAGGGCTTTTATTTGAACAAACTTGGAAGACACCCATTAGAAGATGTTTCACAATGTTAAGTTTTTACTAACACATATAATGAAAAACAATGATCTACTCCCCCCTCCCCGTAAGGACCAATTTTAATCAAGGGGCTTTTATATGAACAAACTTGGTAGACACCAATGTTTCATGCTAAACATCTAAGCTTTAGCTCATTGGATTTTTTAAAAGAAGATTTTTTAAGTTTTTACTATACACATATAGTTAAAAACAACCCCTGGGGCGGGGCCAGTTTGACCCCAGGGCTTTTATTTGAACAAACTTTGTAGACACTTACTAGAAGATGTTTCATGCTTAATATCTAAACTCTAGCTAATTGGGTTTTTTTCAAAGAAAATTTTTAAGTTTTTGCTATACACATATAAGGAAAATCAATGACCCCTGGGGCGGGGCCCATTTTGACCCCAGCGCTTTTATTTGAACAAACTTGGTAGACACTCACTAGAAGATGATTCATGCCTAATATCTAAACTCTAGCTATTTGGGTTTTTTCAAAGAAGATTTTTAAGTTTTTGCTATACACATATAAGGAAAATCAATAACCCCTAGGGCGGGGCCAATTTTGACCCCAGGGCTTTTATTTGAACAAACTTGGTAGACACTCATTAGAAGATTTTTCATGCTAAATATCTTAGCTCTAGCTCTTTGGGTTCTATAAAAGAAGATTTTTAAGATTTTACTATATGCATATAAGGAAAATCAAAGACCCCCTGGGGCGGGGCCAATTTTGACCCCAGGGCTTTTATTTAAACAAACTTGATAGACACTCACTAGAAGATGTTTCATGCTTAATATCTTACCTCTAGCTCTTTGAGTTCTTTAAAAGAAGATTTTTTAAGTTTTTACTATATGCATATAGGGAAAATCAATGACCCCCTGGGGCGGAGCCAATTTTGACCCTAGGGCTTTTATTTGAACAATCTTGGTAGACACTCATTAGAAGATTTTTCATGCTAAAAATCTTAGCTCTAGCTCTTTGGGTTCTATAAAAGAAGATTTTTAAATTTTTACTATATGCATATAGGGAAAATCAAAGACCCCCCTGGGGCGGGGCCAATTTTGACCCCAGGGCTTTTATTTGAACAAACTTGGTAGACACTCACTAGAGAGGATGTTTCATGCTTAATATCTAAACTCTAGCTATTTAGGTTTTTTCAAAGAAGATTTTTAAGTTTTTGCTATACACATATAAGGAAAATCAATGACCCTCGGGGCGGGGCCAATTTTGACCCCAGGGCTTTTATTTGAACAAACTTTGTAGACACTCACTAGAAGATGTTTCATGCTTAATATCTAAACTGTAGCTATTTAGGTTTTTTCAAAGAAGATTTTTAAGTTTTTGCTTTACACATATAAGGAAAATCAATAACCCTCGGGGCGGGGCCAATTTTGACCCCAGGGCTTTTATTTGAACAAACTTTGTAGACACTCACTAGAAGATGTTTCATGCTTAATATCTAAACTGTAGCTATTTAGGTTTTTTCAAAGAAGATTTTTAAGTTTTTGCTTTACACATATAAGGAAAATCAATAACCCTCGGGCGGGGCCAATTTTGACCCCAGGGCTTTTATTTGAACAAACATTGTAGACACTCACTATAAGATGTTTCATGCTTAATATCTAAACTCCAGCTATCTGGGTTTTTTCAAAGAAGATTTTTTAAGTTTTTGCTATACACATATAAGGAATTTCAATGACCCCCGGGGCGGGGCCAATTTTGACCCGAGGGCTTTGATTTGAACAAACTTGGCAACCAGAGTTTTTAATGGAATTTAAATTTTTGAACAACTTTGAGGATCATTCCTGTAAAGTATGGTTGCAAGTGGCCATGTGGTTTAGGAGGAGATGTTGTTTGAAAAGTTTGACGCCATTTTTTGAAGGACGCACGACGCACGACGGACGCAGAGTGATGACAAAAGCTCACCTTTGAGCACTTTGTGCTCAGGTGAGCTAAAAACAAATTGGTTTATAATCTCACAACCTCTTCATCTTTCTGACATTCTGAGGCCCAAACAAATTCAGCGCCTTCTGTGCTTTAATTTGGAAACCGATGTGGAAGTGACTTATGAAAATCAAACTTGAAAATATATTGCAAATTTGATTTGTAGGATCGTCCTTAACTTAATTGTGACTGATTGATAAAACGATTAATTACCTCGTGTGCACATTATTTTAATCATAGCATTTGTTCGCCAATTATTGCACTAATTTATTCAAATCTCTTTATGTTTGGGCACCTGTTAAAAGTTTCAAACATGTATTAAAAGACATAGGGGATTCTCTCAAATTTTTCCTTTACGTCATAAAAGGGCGACAACTTGAATCCGACAGGATAAGTTGTCACTTTTTAAACATTTATGTAAATTTCAAAGTTATTCTTTACGAAAATTGTAATGTTATTCTACCCTCCTGACTTTATGTTTTTGCCCATATTTGTTTCGGATTTTTATGCAGTCTTTATGCAGGGTCAAAAATGCACGTGAAGAAATTGTTAAGAATGTATACAGCGAACCCCCTGTGGTATTAACCATGTTTTAAAGTTTAGAGGTATTAAATATAAACGATTGTTTATCACTTCACATTGTTACGTTGTTTAACAATAGATAGTTGTATCATAATATCATAATGTTATTGCTTTAAGGAACAATCAGTTTTTTCACAATCTCTCTGTGAAAGATCAACAATGAAAAACTAAATTGTAGAAAGAGAACGGTAGACATGTTGCTTTGCTTTTGCACGGATTCTAAAATCTGCTTTAAACTGTAGTCCTTTTTTGCGACTTGGAACTGGTGCCAGAATTGCCAATTGAAGAAAAATAAGATTTATGTAATTCATAATAAAAATATGAACATGTTTAGGAGTTTTGCTTTCCGTACTCCCGGTTGATGTAAATCTGACCTATTAATCATGGCGTAGACCAAATAATGCCAGAAAACGGAATAGCTTGCAACTGAAGCCCGCTCTAATACAAGCAACTTCTAAGGTTATGCAAAGTGTTTGATAAAACGGCTTATAAACTGACGAAGATCCAATATTCTGTGGAAAGCATATTTTTCCCCGTAGACTCGTGCATATCCTAATGAAATTGGTACAGAAATAAAATATTTACGGCTATTTTCTTTTCCGAATCGAGCAACATTTGTCTTGGAAACAATGCCGAAAATGACGTCAATGTCACGTGGTATTGCTACACTGTGTATGTATATATGCATATGCATATATTGCACATATTGCGCAGCGCATACATATAGTCAGAGATTTATCTAACGGTCAGCTTCATAACTGTAGCTTGAAAAAAAAGTTAGAAAATGAACTCAAATTTATTAAAAGCGGTCTTAGTAGTGTTTTATTTGCATTTTGTTTTAAGTGATATTACAGGTGTTAAAACTACTGTTGGATTAATACATGGAAAAGAAGTAGATGTAAATGTGTTTGGAGAACATTTCCGTGTATCAAAGTATCTTGGTATACCATATGCAGAACCCCCGGTCGGGGAATTACGTTTTCAAAAGCCCGTACCGAAAACACCACTCCAAGAGCACCTAAATGCCGTCCTATACGGAAATGCGTGTCTCCAAGTCGATATAGGGATGCAACCTAAAGGCGATACAAAGTACTCGGAGGATTGTCTTTATCTGAATATATATGCTCCAAAGAAACCTGAGCAAGGCGAGAAACTCGCGGTTATGGTTTGGTTTCATGGTGGCGGATTTATTGTAGGATCAGCGGACATTTATCCGGCGGACCATCTTGCTGTATACGGAAACGTTGTTGTAGTAACTGTTAACTATAGACTGACAGTTTTTGGATTCCTAAGCACCGGGGATAAACACGCTCCTGGTAATTACGGCCTGTGGGACCAGCGGATGGCGTTAGACTGGGTCAACAAGGACATTGAAGGATTTGGCGGGGATCCAACTAGAGTTACTATATTTGGAGAATCTGCCGGAGCTGCTAGTGTGATTTATCAAGGACTTTATCCGGATAATCGAGGCTTGTTTCAGAGATTGGTGGCCCAGTCCGGTTCTGCCGGGTCCTGGTGGGCAAGTAACGATCATTCTAGAGAAGACACTGAGAAGCTTGCGAAATTGGCTGGTTGTGCAACGGAGTCTTCTAGAGACATTATAACTTGCTTAAAGGCTATCCCAGGTGAAACACTGCTTCGAATTGTTGACAATCTTGAAAATGGTTTCAAAGTAATCCCTATACCTTTTATACCAAGGTTTGATAAAGACTTTGTAAAACTTCCAAGTAAACAAACATTTGTCCCGGGTAATGAAATACCAGTGGAGTCACGTGACTTTTTCAGGTCTCTAGATATAATGGTTGGAATGAACTGCGGAGAAGGTAGCTTGTCGTTAAATCCTTTCTTTGGAGTAATAGATCCCTCTAGTTCCTTACCGAATAAGACCGAATTCAAGGACTTGATCGTACCAGCAATACAAAACCTGGCATTTCAGGGAAACACTGACCAAACTGTTAGGGATGCCATAATTGCAGAATACACGAACTGGGAAAACCCTGATAATGAATATCTAATTAGAGATGAGTTTCTAGCAATGCATTCAGATTTTACATTTGCGGACCCACTTTACAGAGCTTTGGATTATCACTCTGAATCAACCAGTAATACTTACATGTACTACTTTGATGAGGTTACCACCAACCATTTGTTTGGAACTTTCCCCTGGTATAACAAGCTGGGGCACGGCGACGAGATTCCTTTTATTTTAGGATTCAAAAATGCGGACCATGTACACGACTGGAAGTTTTATGCCAAGGAATGGGAAGCACAACTGTCCAAAAGTGTTATCAAATTGTGGGCAAACTTTGCAAAAACAGGGTATGTTATAGTGGATTTTTTTATTTCGATTTTTCAGGTTTCATAAAATATAATTTTTCTGAAATCGACTTAATATGGATATTTCTTTTTTGTGTGCGGTTGATATCATTATTAGACTGCCATTTTTCTCTCCACCTCCCCAGTCTCGGAAATCCTTTTTATGATACATGTACCACGCATGCGTGAATAATTGAATAATTGCCCCCCCCCCCCCCACAAAAAAAAAACAAAAACAAAAAAAACAAACACCATGCACGCACGCACACACCAACGCACACACGCACACACACACACACACACGGACAATCTTATTTTAGAGAACATCAGAGGTTCTAAAGACATTCCTTATTTAAAACTCTTCTTGCTACATTATTGAATTTTAAAATTCTGTGTACTTTCTTATCCGGGAACCTTTCATATCCGAACTTTCCTTCTGGTCCGAACAAGTGCGGATTAGACAGGTTCCACTGTATTATCATCGTATAAGTCTTGCCTTATATAATTTGTGTGTAATTTTCGTTTATAACATTTTTCTCTGTGATATCTATAAATAGAAAGTAATTGCTTTATTTCAGGAATACCAACTTACCTGACAACCTTGACCTTGACTGGTTGCCGTATACGAGGAGGCATCAACATTACTTGCAAATATCACGTGATATGACGTCATTGAACGTAAAACAACGCTGGAATACTCGTAGAGCCAATTTCTGGGGAAATCTACTTCCAAGCATTGTAAAAGCATCACAATGTGCACGTGACACTAAGGATTCTGGACAACAAAGTTGTCCAGCAACGGGAAAATGTCCTCCATAGATTTTGTAGGCATACCCAGCCCTTACCGATAACATTACTTGAATAATAGATCACATATCGGACTAACCCTGTTATCCAGAATATTTTAGTGCTTTTGATATCGTGTAAATAGAGCTTTCATCGATAGAAACAATATCGATGAATCATCGATATTTTTTGTTTATCAATTTGACAGGTCTTGATACTAAATTTTTCAGCAGGTGGTATGCCGGACCACTGGATCCAAAATTCAGTTGGTCCTTTCTGAACACAGGTGGTCCATCTTTTTTTTTTTTTTACTCATTTGTTTTTAAGGAAACTTGAGATTTAGAAGAACTACACTTAAAATTTGTGACAGAGACATATTTATTATTAGATTTATAACAACTGAAGAAAACATGTATTTTTTCTTTTTCAATCTTAGATCAGATAGAAAGTCATTGTATTCCTATTTAGTATTTAATATCTCATTGAAAAATACATGACAGTACTCGTACTTCGGTTAAGTGACTTCTTCCGCAACTCAAGTTAGGGAATAGTGAAACCATTTGTGAAGGACTTATTTCCTTACTGTTATTCAAATACTCATTGCTGTTTCCTGGTACACCTTATAAGAATAATAATAGCTTTTTATAGATTAACATTTTTATTAAAGTATTAAGTTATTATTTTCTTATCTTTGAAACAATGAAATATTAATGATAAACAGAAAAATTCCTACATTATAATTGAGCTTATCTTCCTCACAGATTTATTAAACATGCTTGTTTGTTGAAATTTATTTATTTTTGACAAAGTATTTATAACCTTTAAAGTACTTTAAATAAGAAAAAATGGATCTCTGATCGTTTAAAAAAGTAGCCAAAGATTACTAGATATTTAATTTTTCCTTTGCCTTTGTTTGCACCATTATTCATGTGTTTATCAGATATCCCATAGTGATACAATGTTATAAATTCAATGCAGTACTAGAGACATTTGAATGAATTTTATACTTTAATTATTAAAATAATTTTCTACATTTTAAACTTCACTGTTAGCGAGTTAATAAAAAATTATGGTTGTTTTAAGATCTTTTTGAACTAATGAGATGAATGGACATATACCTGTACATCGGAGAAATGGTTTTAAACAACAATTATAGAACACGTTTTTCGACCAAATAACCATTCTCCCAGATGAGCCCTGCACCATTTGGAAAATTCAAGTGGTCTAACGGACCAGTTGCCTGTAAAATTAGGTGGTCCTTGCCAAAATCAGTTGGTCGCGGACCAATTGACCACCGCTAATGTCGAGGCCTGTCAATAATCGATACACATTTGAAAAATCGATAATTATGACTAAATAATGTAGTAAAAAACACACACAAAAGAACGACCAAAAATTTTCAGCAATTCTATGGAAAATTATTTAATATGGTTGATTGATAATATTTTTTATATACATGTAGGAAAAGCTGAATGACTGTTAGAGAACTGAGAAAGCCATCAAAGCAGTCAGTAACTGTCGTCTGCAAAGGTTATAACATCTAATTGTTAAACTTTCATTTCCAAAAACAAAAAACAAAAATATCTGAAATTGAACGCTTAAGATTTTGAAAACTTAAAGCAGTCAAAGCTGTAACTTTCGCCTGCAAAGGCTTTACCTTCTCATTGTAAAAATTTTATTTCAAAAAAAATTCTGAAATTTAAAGCTTAAGATTTTGTAAACCCAAGCATTTTAAAATGAAAAAGGCTATTGTTTCTAAGGATATTACTCTTGAAGAGAGGATCTCTTCATCTGCGGATGTTTCAAAATTCTAAATTGTACCAGTTCATGTTAAATGTTGAATTCTGCTAAAGTCGGTGCTAGGGGGCGTGAACGGTAGTTTGCACTTGACAGTACCGTCCATGAACAGGCTCAATCAAACCGAGTCTGCAACATTCTCAATTTGCCGTGTTGGGCTTTCTTTAGGGATTCTTATTTTCTCTATTTTATTATAACTATTATTATTATTATTATTATTATTATTATTTTGAAATTTATCTAATTCAGTTCCAACAATAATGAATGTAATGATTTTTGTAATGAGCATGCTTTTAACAATGATGATTGTACCGTACCTATGAAGAATTGAATGTACCTATGAAGAATTGAATGTACCTATGAAAAATTAAATATACTTATGAAGAATTGAATTACCTATGAAGAATTTAATGAACCTATGAAGAATTGAATGTACATATGAAGAATTGAATGCACCTATCACATATTTCATTGAGACGCTTACCCTAACCCTATTATATGTTATCATTTGTGTGATATTTTAATGCAATTTTGTACTCTGGATTTTATCCAGATAAACGGAAACTCTATACTATAAACGTGACATCTTAACAATTTGTGTATTTATATTGTAGTGATGATATAGTATGTACAAAATCCAAAATAAAATTATATTCTGTTTAAATTTTTTTTGATATGTGTGCTGATCTATGTGGGGAACAAAATACAGTGAAACCTCTAAAGAGCGCCCTTCTGGTAGAGTAATTACTCCTTTACAACAACCTTATCATTTCTTCCCAAAATATGGCTTCACAATGAATATAACTGTCTCTAGAGCCCACTTGTCTGCAACGTCCAAGAAATTTGTGTTTCACAAAGGGTCACCTTCTGTAGCGGTTGTATTGGCCTTGAGGTTATAAAACTTATTTTTTCTGTATTCTGTCTCAGATCTCTGGATTTTCATTGGTCAGTGAATATTCTATGGCAGTTTCTGACCTGAGTTAGAAAATGAACTCAAATTTATTCAAAGCGGTTTTTGTAGTGTTTTATTTACATTTTGTTTTAAGTGATATCACTGGTGTTAAAACTGCAGTTGGATTAATACATGGAAAAGAAGAAGATGTAATTATTTTTGGAGAACATTTCCGTGTATCAAAGTATCTTGGTATACCATATGCAGAGCCCCCGGTTGGCGAATTACGTTTTCAAAAGCCCGTACCGAAAACACCACTCCAAGAGCACCTAAATGCCGTCCTATACGGAAATGCGTGTCTCCAAGTCGATATAGGGATGCAACCTTAAGGGGATACAAGTTAGTCGGAGGATTGTCTTTATCTGAATATATATGCCCCGAAGAAACCTATGCAAGGCGAGAAACTCGCGGTTATGGTTTGGTATCATGGTGGCGGATTTATTGTAGGATCAGCGGATATCTATCCGGCGGATCATCTTGCTGTATACGGAGATGTTGTTGTAGTAACTGTTAACTATAGACTGACAATTTTTGGATTCCTGAGCACCGGGGATGAACACGCTCCTGGCAATTACGGTTTGTGGGACCAACGGATGGCATTAGACTGGGTTAACAAGAACATTGAAGGATTTGGCGGGGATCCAACTAGGGTTACTATATTTGGAGAATCAGCCGGCGCTGCTAGTGTGATTTATCAAGGACTTTTTTCGGGTAATCGAGGCTTGTTTCAGAGATTGGTGGCCCAGTCCGGTTCCGCGGGTTCCTGGTGGGCAAGTAACGACAATTACAAAGAAGACACCGAGAAGCTTGCGAAATTAGCTGGCTGTGCAACGGAGTCTTCTAAAGACATTGTAACTTGCTTAAAGGCTATCCCAGGTGAAACATTGCTTGGAATTGTTGACAATCTTGAGAATGGCTTTAAAGCAGTCCCTATACCTTTTATACCAAGATTTGATAAGGACTTTGTAAAACTTCCAAGTAAACAAACATTTGTCCCTGGCAATGAATTACCAGTGGAGTCACGTGACTTTTTCAGGTCATTAGATATAATGGTTGGAATGAACTGCGGAGAAGGTAGCTTGTCGTTAAGTCCTTTCTTTGGAGTAACAGATCCCCCTAGTTTCTTACCGAATAAGACCGACTTCAAGGACTTGATCGTACCAGCAATACAAAACCTTGCATTTCCGGGAAACACTGACCAAATTATCAGGGACGCCATAATTGCAGAATACACGAACTGGGAAAACCTTGATAATAAATATCTAATTAGAGATGAGTTTCTAGCAATGTATTCAGATTTTACATTTACGGACCCGCTTTACTGAGCTTTGGATTATCACTCTGAATCAACCAATAATACTTACATGTACTACTTTGATGAGGTTACCACCAACCATTTGTTTGGAACTGTCCCATGGTATAACAAGCTGGGGCATGGCGACGAGATTCCTTTTATTTTTGGATTTAAAAATGCGGACCATGTACACGACTGGAAGTTTTATGCCAAGGAATGGGAAGCCCAGCTGTCTAAAAGTGTTATCAAATTGTGGGCAAACTTTGCAAAAACAGGGTATGTTATAGTTGATTTTTTTATTTCGATTTTTCAGGCTTCATTAAGTTAATTTTTCTGAAATCGACTTAATATGGATATTTTTTTGTGTGCGATTGATATTATTTTTACACTGCCTTTTTTAATTTCTCCACCTCCCCAGTCTCGGAAACCCTTTTTATGATACATGTACCATGCATGCTAGAATAATTGAATAATTTCACGATTTACACCCCCCACCAAAAAAACCGAACTTATCTTCTGGTCCGAACGAGTGCGAATTAGACAGGTTCCACTGTATTATCATTATATAATTTTTGCCTTATATAATTTGTGTGTAATTTTCGTTTATATTATTTTTCTCTGTGATAGCTATTTTCGTTTATAACATTTTTCTCTGTGATAGCTATAAATTGAAAGTAATTGCTTTTTTTACAGGAATACAAACCTACCTGACAACCTTGACCTTGACTGGTTGCCGTATACGAGGAGGCATCAACATTACTTGCAAATATCACGTGATATGACGTCATTGAACGTAAAACAACGCTGGAATACGCGTAGAGCTAATTTCTGGGGAAATCTACTTCCAAGCATTGTAAAAGCATCACAATGTGCACGTGACACTAAGGATTCCGGACAACAAAGTTGTCTAGCAACGGGAAAATGTCCTCCATAGATTGTGCAGGTCTACTCTACTCAATCTTTATCGAATAATACATCACATATCGGACTTACCCTGATATCCACGCACACACAACACCCGAACGTCTTATTCTGTGAAAAACCCTTCAGCAACGTTATGGAAAATTATTTTATATGGTTTATAGATTATAAAAGTTTTATCTAATAATAAATTCAGTTCCAACAATAATAAATTTAATGATTTTTTGTAATTAGCACGATTTTAACTGTGATGATTGTACCTATGAAGATTTTTTTAAATGTACCTTTCACATGTGAAGAGATTTAGAAAGTTGTAATTAAGTCGCATAAAGCTGTAGACCCAGACTGTTTTTTAAACGTATATTTTATTGAGTCTATTAACATTATATGTTATCATTTGTGCGATATTTATAATGCCATTTTTGGACTCTGATACTCTATACTATATACGTGACATCTTAACAATTTGTGTATTTATATTGTAGTGATGATATAGTATGTACTATGTTATATTCTGTTTAAAATTTATTTAATATGTGTGCTGATCTATGTGGGGAACAAAATACAGTCAAACCTCAACAGAGCGCACTTCTGGTAGAGCAATTACTCCTTAACAACAACAACAGTATCATTACTTCCCAAAATATGGCTTCACAATGAATTTAACTGTCTCAAGAGCCCACTTGTCTGCAACGTCCAAGAACTTTGTGTTTCACAAAGGGTGACCTTCTGCAGAGGTTGTATTGGCCTTGAGGTTATAAAACTTTTTTTTCTGTGTTCTATCTCAGATCTCTGGATTTTCATTGTTCAGTGAATATTCTATGACAGTTTATGACCAATTAAATACATGATATCTGAGTTTGAGCTTTCTTTATAACCTCAGACCCATGTGTTTATTTCACAACAAAGAAAGCAAAGGTTAAGTTTTTGTATTAATAATTTAGACCATGTAACGAAAAGTAGCGAATAAAGTCCGTCAATTCAAATTAAATCATGTTTTTTATTTTGAACATTGGCGAAGAAAAAGCAACACCTTTTTTGCATGATATTCATGACTTGTCAGATATAATCAAAGAAAATAAAAACTGGGAATAAGAAGATATTTTTATGCATTTTTTCTCTCGATTTACTCAAAAATCTAAACTTTGGCCAAGCCTTTGCTACAAAAAAAAGAGAACAAGGAAAATCGTATACAATTTTAAATCTTTATTTTGCGAAGAAAAGAAAAGGAAATATTGACAATGTAAATGTATACCAAGTCTTAATTGTTAGTGTCAAATCCATACAAATGTCGAAATATAAAGAAAATTAAAGAAACTGTTGAAAGTAGTAGAATCAAATCAATTTAAAATAGATTGACAATGAGATTCAAAACTGAATGAAAAAAATACCTCTAAAATTGAGTATACATGTATAGTCAAAATAAAATGTTGGAATTTAAGAGCATAAAATCGATGGAAAGTGTTGAGTATGAAACCAATGTAAAATGTAAAGAGTAAAATATAAAATCAATGTAAAATGTTGAAAGTTAGAAAAGATGTAAAAGAAATGTAACCTGAAGAAAACAAAATGTACAAAATGTTTGTGACATCAATGTTAAAAGTTAAAATGTAAAGTACAAAATTAATGTAAATATAAAGTACAAAATCAATGTAAAATGTTGAAAAAGTTTAAGACAAAGATTATACAATAAAGAAATATTGCGACTTTGCGAATAATTGGCAAACAAAGTACTTGTATTTAACTTTTGCGTTTGATCAAGGAATGTAAATGGATTCATTTTTTATAAAGATCACTAAAGCAGCATGCCCTCAAGATTAGCAAAAATATTTCGATAAATTTAAACTTGAGAAAAAATGTATTCAAAGTTTAGGAAAAGTAGAAAGATTCAAGATTTGAGTAATACATGTAATTCACATGTTATGGGCGATTATTGTT